AAAAACCTTTGTACTAATACTACTGCAATGAATATTTTACTTAGGAATAGAATACTTCCACCAGTTTTGTGTTCTACACTGCATGTGTAGACATTTGCTCAACTTACCATCACTATCCTAAACTGAATTTCAGTCATCGAAATAAAAAGCAAAACTGAAATCACAATTTACTAGCATAAATTATTGTTACATTTCTGTTTATATTTTACTTAAGCTGCTAACCAGTCTGTCAGTGTTGTACATGGGTATTAGAGAGCCACCCAAGCAACAGCATTAACAATAAGCATACTCATGGCACTGATGCTTTGGAGCTTTCAGAAAACTGTTTAATTTTTTATACTATTTTCTCATAGAAAATACAGCTGAAAATAATTTGCAGTACATGGAGAGCAGCAGCTTTGAATTGTGTTATTCATTAAACTGTTTACAAATATATATAACTTTAAAACTATGACTCTTTAAACAAATTGTACATTTTAGTACAGTTACAATTGCAAAGACTGATTTGCTCTTCTAACATAATTTTTCATGAAAGTTATTCATGAATGTTGTTAATGGTAATTAGTGGTTAGATTAAGACATGTAATAATGATGTAATATCACAATTAAAACATCACTAATAATTACGTACATCAAAAAGCTGTATATTGCTGCTAAAAAAAGTATTGTTTAGATGCTTTTAAAAAGTTGTTTTCTACACCTACTTTTAAAAATGAGATAGAAAGTAAAAAGTTGTAGGCGTCTGTATACATCAATGTTTATCATCTGGTTTTATGTACACATTATATACTTTGTGATGTAATACTTTGTGCCAAAGTATATTGTACCGAGAGTAAATTCTTTCTTTATTATCCAGATGTTTTAGAGAAGTAATTTATTTTTAGTTTAGATTAACCTATTGTACTAGCAACATATTAGTAATGTTTTGCTCTTGAATTAATGACACGTGATGTCTTCTTTAGTAGTAAAACAACCACAACAAAAACCAAACAAATCAAGAAAACTCCCGTTGTTCTATATTAACTTTCCTTGAACACAGCACCTCCAGAATTTCTCTAAATATGCTTCTTTGGCTTTGAGTTCAGTGCAAATCCCTGATATTTAGCCTACAGGTGTCAGCCTGCTCTGTGCATGCTGAGGCTGCAGTTTGGTGAACACACTTTTTATGGTACCAGACAGGGTCAGATCCCAGTGTAAAAGGTGAGGTGTGATACCCGAGACCTGGCACCATTGATTCTGACATTGATTCTCTGCTAAACACAGTCAGGTGGGAATGAAGCAAAATACTACCTGTTTATAAAATGTCCAATGACTCTTTCACTACATGACAGTGAATCCAGCGAAGAGCTTGTTTTCAGTTCGTGCTCTTTGCATGCTTCAGGTGCTGAGCTGAATACACCATGCAGCGGGACTTTATATAAACTTTATCCAGTTGAGGAATTTATGAAGGTTCTTAGACCACAGGGTTTTGTTCTGTTCCACCTCATATGCCATCCTTCTTTGCTTCGCATCTTATTTCTTGAATTTGTGCCACTCCAACCTTGATTTGTTGAACTGTACAGAATAGAGGGATTGAATTATTCTGTTTCATGGTATGTAAGTATATTAACTAGTTCTCCCATTTCAGAGCATATATTAAGTATATTGGTGTCCCCACCGTAAGAGAGAAATGCATCTGTTGGAGCGCGTTCAGAGGAGGGCCACAAAGGTGATCCAGGGGCTGGAGCATCTCTGCTATGAGGACAGGCTGTGGGAGCTGAGACTGTTCAGTCTGGAAAAGAGAAGACTTCGGGGGGACGTGATAGCTGCCTTCCAGTACCTAAAGGGAACCTACAGGAAGGCTGTGGAGGCACTTTTACAAGAGCATCCACTGAGAGGACAAGGGGAAATGGGTTTAAGTTAAAGGAGAATAGATTTAGATTGGACCTTAGGAAGAAATTCTTCAGTACGAGGGCGGCAAGAATTTGGAATAAACTGCCCAGAGACGTTGTGGCTGCCCCCTCCCTGGAGGTGTTCAAGGCCAAGTTGGATGGAGCCTTGAGTAGCCTGATCTAGTTGAGAGGCGTCCCTGCCCATGACAGGGAGGTTGGACTAGGTGATCTCTAAGGTCCCTTGCAGCCTAGGCCAGTCTATGATTCTCCTTGTGGAAGCTGCTGTCTGGACAATGATATAAGTTGAAGTTGGCTCTTTACCATCAGAACTAAATGAAAAGTGATGGTGGTGAATAGCTCCCCGTCAAAAGTCTTTAAACATGAATGCTAACCACAACTGAAAATCACACAATGGACTGTCATTTCAAAAGGTGATTAAGACTCACGTATTATCAGAGAAAATAAACTAGAATAAGTGCAGAACATCTTGTATATGATCATTTAAATCAGATTTAATGTAGCTTGTAAACAAGCATCCCATGAGTCTTCTGTTCTGGTTGCTAAAGATACGTTGTATGCGCAAGTACATATAAAAGCAGGTACACACACGTACATATTTGTGTGTGTATATATACACGTATATTTATGTATATATATATATATGCATTCATACTCATGTGTATCCACCCTCTAAATGTGTTATAGGTATGAATAACTGAAAAAAACCCGAATCTCCAACCAAAACCAATGAGTAATCTACTTGATATCTGAATTTCAAGTTTGGGCCATTGTTCCAGCAGTTGTTTAATAGAAGTTCTGCGATATTAAAAACTAAAATTGCTAGTTTATTTCCATTGCCATAAGATGACTTTGAAAGTTCATAGGATTCAGGACTAGAACGTTTAAAATCCCAAACAAATAGTTCTACGAAGCAGTTCATTTTAGTACAGAAGAAGTGTTGTGTTTGTATAAGACTAGGACACTTACATCTCTACTTTCAGGTACTTTTCTTTGTAATTTGAGGGAGTTTTCACGGGAGGAGGTGCAGATTTGTTTGCAAAACTGAGAAGCCTCAGCCATTCTAACTGTGTGATTCCATTACAATTATATTGTAGTGTGTTGAGCCGAAAGGGATACAGGCTACTTCACACAGAAAGACGTATGGTGACCTGGAAACATGGACAGTTAATATTTAATGTGTTAATTGTTTAATAATGTTGGTTCATGATGTCAGGTCCTGTGCATGGACCACTTCATGATTTTACCTTTGAGAATATGTTGCCTGTGATTAATTGTTCATATAAGTAGAAATACAGATAGCGTTTCTGGACATGTTGGGTAATGTCAGAACGTTGTGATGGAGCACATTTTGAAGAAATTTTTAAGTATTATATTTTTCCTAAAAATATGATCAATACTTAGCTGTCACATTTTCCAAGACGGTTGTGCAACTTAATTTTATAAACTTTCGAAAAAGGTATTTGAAGAATGCAATTTAAGTGCAATTGTAACAATATGCGTAAACTGCATGTCAAAATTGCATGAAACAAAAGGAGTATGGAGAAAATATTTTAGATATACGTGAAGCCAGGAAGGCTTCATGAATCGTTTTGTCAAATTTATTTAAAGAAAACTCTACTTAAATAATGGTGTTAACTTTTCAAGAAATGTGATTCTATATGGGTAAGTTGAGTAAACTGCAATGTCCGTGATTTATTTTTATTTTAAAAAGAGCTTTGAAACATTGTTGCACAGAAAGCTCAAAATGAAGCAGAAGTAATATTTTCTGAATAATGGTAATAATAATAATGATAATGCCGTCAGTGGGAAATGAACAAGTGACAGATAAGCTAAAATTATATTTTATCAGTAGTATTATTTCTGGTTATATGAGAAGCATCAACCTGAATCCTGTATGATTTGGCATTAAGTTTCATATTAAATGATATATCAACATGGAAGTATCACTGTTCAGTTTATATAGAAGTACAGTGATATAATACTGAACAGTGGTATAATTTTCAGATTGCTATAGCTAGGAATTTTTATAAATACAGTGACTCTTAAATCAGAAGTATAGATAGGTATGAATAACTTGGGAATTTGGTTGAACAAATGTGAGGTGAGGATTGATGTAAAGAAGAGTAAGTTAATAGATTGAAGAAAGAATATCCTAGATGGACGTAAATCAGGATTTTTTTCACTACAGTATAATTATGAATAAAATACCTTCTTCATCATTTTATTGATAAGGAACTGAAAATTAATTTTAAATTCGGTACATTAGCAGGCAAAGACTGGTTTGATTTTGAAATTCGTATCTAGGTATATAGTTAAAATTTTGTGGTAAAATCCTGCTACAAGCTTCACAAGATTACTGTCTAACTGAGCAGGTCCGGAAGGTAAATCACACTGTAATTGCAATCAACCTTGGTTAAAAGAGGAAAACAGCTCTGAAGTCTAGCTGGAGCAAATTTTAGGAAAAGAAAGTAAATTCATCATGTTGATTGGGACCCAAGCAAGAGCTCATAAAATATTTTAAGCATGTGCATTTTCAGATATTACCTTCTCAATGTGTAATGTGTGGCTCAGGTAATTGAAATGAAACAAAGAAAATATGTCTTTGAAATCATTTTTTTTCTAGCAAAGATTTTAAAATGTGATGTTAAGTAAATTACCTGCAGGTTTTCTTCTGCTGGTGTTAGAAGAATGATCTCACACTCTGTAGTACTGCATATTATGACAAATGCCAAGAGTTTCATTGCTGTGATTGTATGTTTCTGATATTTATTTGTAGGTGGGATAGTTAACACCTCAGTTATGGTGTAAAGTTGGAACTAATTTTCAGGATATCCAGAAAACTTTAGGATAAGCTGTTAAATCGGGTAATCTTCAGTTGTTCTGGTTATTTCTTCTGTAGAACAGTACTTGAGTAGATGACTGTGTTAGAATATTAATCATGCAATAGGACAAATGTGCTGCTCTTCTCTATGCAAGATCTGCATTCCAGCCCATTCTGTTCCATTTAGTGGGCACAGGGAAGAAGATTTATTCTTGGTTGATTCTGCTAGTAGAGGTGCTGAATCTCTCTTGCTTTAGCCCAGCATACACTGTTATCACTAATATTCCATGTGTTTTTTTCAGGACAAAGAAGGAGTGGAGGGTGTATCTGTGGGAGCCATTCTTTCTGACTACCAGAGAGTTCGAGTTGAAGATGTGTAAGAAAATATTAATCTTCATTAATATAAACATTGTAGAAAGTGCTTTACGTTGTTTTCTAACTCAAATTCTGGAGCAGAGACAGTTGCTTTATTTTTCGTGTTCTGTGACAACCATTTCATTCAGTTTGTTAATATATTTTTTCTTTTTTTTTTTTTTCCTGAAACCATATGTTCATTAGTAAATATCTGGAAGAGTCTATATGGGATTTCTGGATTGCTTCTCAGGTCTTTTGTGGATCTGTTGAAAATACTCAAAAGAGTTTTAATAAGAAAATATTGGACTAGGTTCAGATCTGTGATTTCAGCAGAAAGCTCACTCGATTCCAGTGACTGTGGTGTTGCGGTCAAGTATCTCTGTTTTTACAAGAGTTTTAATATTGAGTAAAATCCTGTGACTTGCTATCAGGAATTAAATGCAAGAGAATTGTTATGTGCGTACTTCCCTTCTTTAAATTCTAAAATCTGTTTTCATAAATTAAGGGCTTTCATTTGTTGTTTTGTGGTGTACACTCCCTAAGTGTAGACTTTCTATATCTAGATAGATTGTGATACTTTTAAGAGTCTTAACTGTAAAAAGCAGTATGTTGTGGGAATTGTGTGTATTATATAGACCAAGATTCAAATTGGGTCCGGAAAAAGATTTTCACCATATATGTCTGATGAAATGCAAACTCACCTTGTGTTAAAAAATAATTATCATTTCATGAGTTAATTAGATATTTGTTGATGATCAAAGTAAATATCTGGAATCCTTTATGAACCGTAAGAATGGGGTCGTTAATGCTGTGCCAGCTCATCTCACATCAGCAAGTTACAGAGCTTGGGTGTTTTCTTTGTGCTTTGCGTAGGTGAATTGCAGTCAGGAAGAGCTCCTTTCTTTTTCTTTTCCCTTAATCTTAAAACATTGTAATGAGTGCCCTAGTGTTTCTGCCCTAGTGCGTTACTAGACTGTTTAGAAAAGATTGCTTTTGTGGGTTTCAGATCTTCTACCACAGCCAGAAGTTTGACAAGATGTAACAATATTTCAAACAGACCTGATTAGTTCCAAGGTTACTCTGCTCACAAATTTGGAATCGATGTGTAGATTTATCTCTTGCAATAAAGCTGTTTCACATAAACCATTCCAGTTACTTGGAGTCAGCTAATTTGTTACCTAAAGTTAGGCACCTAAATGAACTACTTCACATTCAGAGTTGCTAAATATTTCTATTAATTTCACAACTTTGTGCTCTGTTAAAATATATGACAGTAATAACAAAACCAATGGGATTATGTGGGTACTAACTACAGATTTACATGTCAACCTTAAACATCCACTTAACTATGAAGTCTTGACTCTAATACTATATGGAAGAAAGCCTGTATATTTGATAAATAACAATAATTGACAAATAAATGTGATTTTTGAGTGCTTTGAGCTAGTTGCATAGCTGAATGTTTTCGAGTTTTTCAGGAACTAAGCATTACCCGTTTTATTACCAGCTGATGGTACTTTACAATTTGCAGAAGAGTTACCTATCAATAGTGCAAATTTATGATTCTCTAAATTGGTAAACTTGTTTACTTGATTGATCATTGGATTATGCTGTGTATTAAATGCTGTCTAAATATGATATTTATCAAAACAAATAATTAAATTTACTTTAACAAGTTGTTACTTTGTATCACAAGCTGTATACATTTTTCTGAATTATTCTCTTCATTGGGTGTTGATCCAAATCACAGGTTTGCTGAGTGTAACAAATTCAGCATGTTGTACTAGTGACGTGTGCCACGTTTATCACAGAGCAGTAACTCTTGTTTTAGATGTGTTCACAAAAATTGATCCCTTAGAATCATGGAGTTATTTGGGTTGGAAAGGAACTTAAAGATCGTGTAGTTCCCTTCCACTAGACCAGATCACTCAAAGCCCCGTCCAGCCTGGCCTGGAACACTGCCAGGGAGAGGACTTCCACAGCTGCTCTGGGCAGCCTGTGCTGGTGTCTTGCCACCATCACAGTGAAGAATTTCTTCCTTATATCTAACCTAAATCTACCTTCTTTCACTTGGAAGCTGTTACTCCTTGCACAATCACTACGCTCCCTGATCCATTGTCCCTCCTCACCTTTCCTGGCGGTCCCCCTGGTCTCTGAGCACAGCGCTGCAGGTGGGGTCTCGACAGAGCGGAGCAGAGGGGCAGAATCAGCTCCCTCGGCCTGCTGGCCGTGCTGCATTTGAGGCAGCCCAGGATGCGACTGGCTTTCTGGGCTGCAAGGGAGTGTTGCCGGGTCACGTTCAGTTTTTCATCCACCAGCAGCCCCAAGGCCTTCTCTGCAGGTCGATGCGATCGACCCGCTCATCCTCAGCCTGTAGCTGTGCTTGGGTATTTCCCAAGGTATTAATCAGTTTGAGTCCCTAAATGTTTAGAAATGCGTTTTCTCATGGTTTTACTTATATCCTTGCGCAAATCCATTTACATCAGTGGCTTACATCTATCTTACTTAAATAGATGAATTATTATAGTCAGAACAAGTTTATTTCATTTTCTTTTTGTATTAAGCTTAATGTATGTACTGAAATCTAGGAATAGTATTGAAATTTTAGATGGAAAATTATTTAAAGGTATGAAATGAAAGAAATTTTCTTGAATTTTATATAAATTGTGCTGTGTGAAAGCATAGTGCTTCGCTTTATCAATTTTTTGTTTGCTTTTTAAGGTGCAGAAGGCTTAATCTTCAGCCTTTAGCTTACCTTTGGCGTCGGAACCAGGAAATACTGCTTAAAGAAATGATATCATCTAACATTCAAGCCATAATCATAAAAGTGGCAGCTTTTGGTATGTATTCAGATTTTAAGCAATACTTTCTATTGAATCTTCCCATGGGCAAATCCACAACTTAACAGAGAAAAACAGAAATTTTGTTGTATAGTTTAGGATATGAAACGTTAATATGAAAAGAAAATAAAAAAACTACATGGCTCAATAACAGTCGCGATGTCTGAATAATTAATTTACCTGTGTGCAATTCATTTTTACTGGAGACATGGAAAATCTGGAAAGTAATTCTTCCTATCGTAGTCATTAAGTTACTTTTTAAATTTTTTTGTTCTAGTTTGGTTTTCCGTAAAATAGCATGCATAATTCAGTGGCTTGCAGTATCGTCATGTATAGATGATGGAGAATGGTGGTTAGACAATATTGTAAAGAAACTGTGAAAGTTTTAATAGAAATACAACAGATTAACATCAAACAAGATATATTTATATGAAGACAAAATATTTTGTCTAACAACGGCCTTCGACCTGGTAAAACATGTAGCAAAACAGAAATAGTTTGTCATTACCTTAAAAAAAATAATTTACCATGTAGTTGATTTGTGTACCAGAAAATCAACATGTCTTTTCGTTGTCAAATATGTAAAATGAGGTTTTTATAATGAAGCAAATCAATTTGAAAGATCACCTGGTTGTTTCATGTTTGAATGTAAAGATAATATCTAATGAAGCTGATATTTTTGTGTGTGTATGGAAACACATGAGAAATGTTATGGTACAATATAGGAATTTCAGGCCTCTATGAAGTTTTGGGTTTGTTTTTTTATTTAAGAGTACCTGAATGAGATCTTAAGCATAAAGTGTTACCAAGGGACTTTTCTATTTTAAGTTGACTGTAGATGTGAGGTCTATTGTACCAAAGAATGATTAGTATAATACAAGAGTGTCAGTGGTGGTGGTGGTTAAAGGTGTGTTCAAAAAATAATCCTGCATGAGAAGTCCAATGGCTGGTTTGTCTGGGCAACTTTTAACATCAAATTCCTCAAGCCTGTCTTCTTTAAAGAATACTTTATAAAAAAGTAATTTCTTCTCAAATATTAACCAAGAATTGTATTGTTATCCCTCTAGACTGCATAAATTCCATGACTTTCTCCTTTAAAAAATATGTCTTGATTTCTTTTTTTTATTCATTTCTCTTTAACTCGTATAGTTTCCAACTAGTTTTTACATTATACTTACGATGATCTCGCTGTGTTTTTCTCTAGGGTCTGCTAGGGCTGCTAGTGAAATTAGAGTGATTAGAAATAACACATTCCTTTATTCATTTATGGGTAACAAGCAACGTAATTTAACAGCATTTTTCTGAATTTTGGAAGGCCAGTTACAAATACTAAAGAACTGAATGCGATATTTTCTACTATAAAACACTTCAGTTTTAAATTGGAAAAGAAGTGAGTGTATTGTTATAGGAATAGTTTTCAGGCCGTGTAAAGTACATTTTTATATTTATGTTATTTTTCCATGCAATAGAATGCTTTCATTGCTTATGCTGATGTGAAGGAAAAATTAAAGTCCACAAAGAATATATAACATGCTTTTTCACCTCAGAAATACTTTAAAAAGAAAATCTATTATTTAAATAATAGATTAAACTGTTTCACAAGTAGATATCGTTGATGACCTGCCTTATGCCTGAAGCAAGATAGTCTTGTCTTTTGTATTCCACAATCTTAAAAAACCACCTTAAAATGCACTAAGTAGTGCACAAAGAGTGCTTTGTGGGCTATTCATTGAAGGAGCAAATACCATAAATACTTGTAGATAGCAATTAGATAGAAAATCACTGTGAGATTTTTTTTTTCCTTTTTATTTTTTTGGCTACAGGTAAAAGAAAGATCTTATCAGAGTCAATTTCTCACCTGCCTCAGGCAGATGTAATTAGATGTAAGCAAATTTAATGGAGCTTGTGTGCTCTGGGGCCATTCTGTAATGCTTTAATAATTGCATGCCTTATTAAAGTGGATTTAAGGTATGAAGGCTGGTTAACATATCAAGTGGCAAAGAAGATAAGATACAGTTTAACTTTTTGCCTCTTAGATTAATAATCAAAGCTAAACTGCAGTGAAAATATTTAAAATAACAGTTTTGAGAGTCTGAAGGGTAATGCATTAGATGGTACATTGTACAGATGTTACTGCAAGAAGCAAATCTGTAACCCGAGCTTGACATTCATCAGCACTGGCGTTCTTGTACACCCGCCTTGTCCTGTTTTCCATTAACTCAGTGCCAGTATTGGCAAGGTAAAAGCCTGTCATTTTATGTAGAAAACACATAATTATGCAAGTAAATGAGCATTAGTTTAGTACATTTCCCTAAATCCACCATTACAAATTAATACCATAAACTTTGCCAGTGGCAAGAGTTTTCTCTCGGAATAATGTGCTTTTCCAGATGGGATACCAATTGCTCTCACTTACATGCAGAAGAAGTATTGTTAGCAAGCCTTCTTCACATGCCTTCTGTTGATCTATAAGTAGATCAACTTTCTTTCCTTTGGAGTGAATTTCAGAGGCTTTAATGATGAAAAATATTCCATGATCTCGTGGCAAACCTGAGCTATTAAAATAAAATGAAAAAAAAGCTGCTTATGCATATTTATCTTCAGTGCCATTTTCTTGTTGCTAAAGATTCCTGTTTGATGCATGATACTTTTCTATTTGAAATATACTCCTCCTCAGTGGAAACACCAGAAAGTCAGAATGAGGTTAGTAATAGCTAAAATAGAAGCAGCTATTGATTGTTTTGAACATGTGTGTGCCTGAAGTTCCAGTAATATCCATTGGTCATGTGAGACAGTGTAACATAACAGAGACAGTGTAATATAGCACAGTAATAAGATGTGGTTTTGATATCCTTGCTTTCTGCACACATTTAACAGATTAAAATACTAATTAACTTGCAGAGTATGCGTATAACAGATTCAACTTTTTAATCGTGTTAACTCCATGTACTGGTCTTGGCTTTGCCACTTTCTAAAGCAAATTGCTTCCACTGCAGCACCAGATGTGATATTCAGGTGGAATTGAGAGAAGGAGGAAGATTACATTTGGGATGAATCTTTGGGCTCTTCGCAGTATGGTCCTCAATAAAAATAGAGCATCAAGTTTTATTTAGTTTACTTGCATAGTTAACTGTATCTAAATCCTGTTAAGAATTAACACTAAAACTTAAGTGCCACTGTGCATTTTAAAATGCTACAAACTTAAGTTTTCATATATATGAGAATGTAGTTTTAATTGTTTTTATGTAATGCAGTTAAAGCAGTTTGTCCTCTGTGATTGTAGTTTTTCCTGAAGTTTTAAGAGTAACGATCACCTTCAGTAAATTTTGTAAGTGTGCATAGTCATCTTGAGAAAGTGTGGGGAAAAAATAGCTTCTTTGGTGTTTCAGTCAAAATCAGAATATAAGCACAAATTTCTATATTTCATGGGATTAATATGCATTATTTCCTTTATACAGCTTCTTTCCAAATTGGTTATAGTAAATTCATGATTTATTACTGAATTAAGTACCTGAAAAAAAAATGGTAATTATGAGACTTTAAACTTAGTTTGAAAAGAAAAATCCTTTAGTTTTTAAATTATGTTTCTAACCTATAGCTGTTTTTTGGACCACAGGAGAGAAATGAAACCATAAAACTGTTCAACTGTTGGACACTGATAAAAGCTGAAACATTGTGTCAGGGCTGATTAGGTTGTGGTCCTTAGCCTGCATTTGAAGTGGGGCTCTTATGCCGTGGCTACATCCTTTGTCCTACCGGTCCTGCTTCTGTGAGTGCTTCTGAACAATCTCCATGCTCAGCTATGGGTAGAGTTGAAATCACAGGGGCTGTGGACACCTACATTTTGGGATGATGTGGGGCCCTTGTTGCCTCCCCAGCCTATTTCCCTCTAACAATGGAGCAATGAGTCCTTGGGGAGCCATTGCCATCTACAGTCTGTCAGCAAATCCTGAAGTTACTTCTCTAAAACGAGCTGAAGTACGTACATTTAACCTGAGACTCCTTTGCTGCGAGAAGATCTTGACACTTGCCTCACAAGGTCAAGAAGATTGGTATTTTCCTGCTGTGCACAGCATCCTCTGAGAAGCTGGTAGTTGATGTTTTTATATATAAGCTTTTAATTTAGAGAGAGAGAGTGTGTTACTTGTCAGTATAATGAAATCCATACCTGGAGCTTTTGTATATTATTTAATCCTAACCACCTAGGTGTCTGCATTACTGTTTATTATTTGCATGCCTCTAGTATACAGAAGTGAAATCCTGACTGACTGAAATTGATAGCCACACTGCCATTAATTTTCACGGAGGCAAGATTTACGTATAAAGCAGTACATTAAAAAAGAACTAGCACCACACAGTTCCTGGTTAAGCTCCTGAGGGTGTAATTTAGTGTTACTGGTAAACTGATCTAACAGTGAGTTGCTGCCAGAAGGTTGATGTTTTCTTCCCCCTTTGAGCTGACTCTCCCAAACCCACAAGTCTCTACTTGTTTCTGCCTCTGTGAAAGCTCCAGGGATTGTGTGGCTGCACCTCGATGATCCACTGGCAAAGTCCTGTTTTACTGAGCGTGTTGGGGACTTGCCGTGTAGGTACCGTGGCCGCACGGAGGACAAAAACCTCTCATTTCAGTAGAAAGCTTCCTGCTAAATTGGGTTGCCTGTAACGTCAGATCATATCCTGAAGTAAAATCGGTGATTGTGTGGGTTTTGTTTGAGCACGTCCTCTGTGCAATCGAGAGGAACAGCATTCTTTGAAAATGTGTCTCTAGGTTTTAGTACTGAGCAATTTTAAAGTCATTACTGGGGAAATTGAAGGGACAATTGATGTTGCATCATCTTCACAGGGAAACATACTTGATTCCTCTACATATTTTCAAAACATTCTCGGACAATTCACAAACATAACAGAAACGGGAACGTTTTGTTAAGAAATCAATACAAGATCCTAGCTGTTTTCTTCAACATTGCATTGTAAGCATTTGTTTACTTATTGCTAAATAA